GGAGACCCTCCACAAAATCCATTTATAAAAGAAATTGTTAAAAATTATAGATATCAATAATTCCATAATCATAGTTTTAAATGCGACTACAAATATCTTGGATACCTGTGAAATCTTGGACCTCCTTTTAAAGCTCGGCTTTTACATCCAAACACATAACAAGTATTAACCATTGATATGTTTTTTTATAAATTACAGTAAACTAGAATCAGTAGAATCTCAAGATGTCTAGTAAGCTGTCGTAAGCATAGACATAATATGGTTGTAAGTCTAATAATATTTTCAATTTTGGCACTTTGATAAGATTATAAGGATAACATTCTGAATGTTATTACCAATTTCTCCAAGAATGCCCACAAATGTATTGTTTTCTCTTTTGCATAATGTCGGCTTAAGCTATCTCTCTCTAAACTCAGTCCATTCTATTATTAGCGTTTTCCACCTAGTTGCACTATTGCGCTGAGGGCGCACTGAGTGCCATTTTCGTGTTCCATCTACCACTACGTTTTTGCACAATTCCAGTGTAATGTGTTCCATCTTGAAAAACTGCACGAGTGTTTGACACTCGGTGCGGAACTGGCGCATGAGCTTTTTGAGACGGTTTTTGTTAACAGTTGTTTTCACTACTGATAAAATATAAAAATTAAAAACGTGAAATCGTCAAATCTACTAGTCATTGTTGTAGGTAATAGGTATTTCATACTACTTTAAAATGGACAAATTATTAAAGGCACAAATGATTTTGGAGTTAATGTCATCATCGTCATCTAGCGATGACGAAATGATTCAAGAATTGACCAGTTACAAAACAAAAATACCAAAAATTAATAATTTCCTTGATATTGTGAAATATTATTCGGATAATGAAGTATTTATTATAATATAATATAATATATAAATATAAATTTAAATAATAATAATATAATAATATAAATAGTATTTATTATTATATATTAACAATCTATGATTTGTAGTGTATATAAGTAGACATTTGAAGTAGTTATGAAATAGGTAAACTTAAAAAAGGGGTGGATATTTTAAATGTGGATCGTATACATATAAATAATATATACTTCATCGGTAGATTTCTATTTTACAGGGCAGCCTAAATTTCAGAATTTTTTTTTCATATTTTGTATTTTTCAACACTGATATTTTTCCTCAAAATATGAAAAAAAAAATTCTACAATTTAGGCCGTTCGGTAAAATTGAATAGTTCTTCATCTAAAACTTATGAGCAACATTATTTTGAAAAAAAAAACTTCAAAACAATACCTATAATAATATTGATCAATTGCAGTTCAAAAAACACTTTAGGATTAATAGGTCAACCACAAAACTTATTATCAGTATGTTCAAAAGCTCACCGTTTTATCCTAAATCTAATCAAGCAATCGTCACAGCTAGGAGTGCTGAACGACATGTTTTATCATTTTTATGGTAGGTCTTTATTTATTTATAATAAAATATAAAATATAATAGATATCAAATAATCATTATTTTAAAATTTTAAAATTAAATCAGTTTTGCATCTAATAAATGTGCTTTGCGTGATGTTGCTAGCCGGTTCGGATTATCCTTATCGTCACAATTCAGGATTAATGACCGAGTAATGGAATTTCTAATAAAAATTGCTCCAAGTATAATTAAAATGCCAAAATCTGATGCTGAAAAAGAATCAGTGGCTAAAGACTTTGAAATGGTAGGTAAATAATAAATATTACTAACAATTTAGTTTGCATTATTGCATATTATAACAGTTTAATTAATAACATTAATATTTGTTTCAACTTCAAGATAGCTCTTATTCCTCATGCACTGGGTTGTATCGATGGCACATCAATAACAATTAGAACACCAAAACATAAAGTAAAATCTACTTATGTAAATCGCCATGATATACCAGCAATTACCTTGCAGGGAATATGTGACAGTAAAAAGCGCTTTTTAGATGCCTTCACTGGACCACCTGGTAAAATCCATGATGCCCGTGTTCTTAAATTATCAGGAGTTCTTGATTGGCTTCCAAGGTTGTGCAATGAAAAATACTACCTATTGGGAGATGGAGCCTATCCTTTAAGACAGTGGCTCATTACACCTTACAGAAATATTGGACATTTTACAGAATCACAAAAACATTATAACAAAAAATTCAGTGCCACTAGAGTAAAAATTGAAAATACTTTTTGGTTGTTAAAAGGAAGATTTCGCCAGCTGACTGAAATTGACATGCATGAGGTTAATAAAATAACAAAATTCATTATTTGATGTTGTGTTATGCATAATTTATGCATTGATAATGATGATTTAATTAATTAAAATGAATATGATAATGAGGAAGTTATTATGACCGACGAATACGTACAAGATATTACAGTTACTGATGTACAACTGAAACAAGCTGGAGAACCAAAAAGAAATAATTTAAAAGAATATTTATTATACTTAAATAACTAGAAGACAATATAACACACATCAGTCCTTGTATTTTTTAAAATTTAAACAAATAACAAACATCATATACAACTAAAATAACATTCATTCTTTTGATATTTGATAATACATTCATTTTTTTTTTTTTTAATGATAAAAATAAGTAATAACATAATAATATATACAATTTTAATAGACTAGCTTGTAACTATTTTAAATGTATATATTATACATTATACTAAATATAAAATTATAATTAAAAACAGTAAATTATGCACTTTACGTACGTAACTTTTTTATATTATATAAAAAACTTAATAAGTAATAAACATTTTTTTTAAATCTTCATTAAATAATTTTGATAGGTAAGTATATAATATGACCTAAATATTAATTAAATAGGTACCTATTACTTAGAGTTTTTTTTTTATAAAATTGAATTACCTGCAGATAGTATTTTTTGGATTAATGACATCAGTAGTATATAAATGGGGGTTCAGACCGCTGACACTCCACACACACACACACATCCCACATCCCACATCCCGCTGCACACACACACACACGACGTATATTTTGGACTTATCAGTATCCACTCCTTATCAGTAACCACTTCTTACCACTGATAACGATTATCGGCCACGTGCGCGACGTATAATATGTTGGGCTTATCAGTAATCGTAACCTAATCAGTAACCACTTCTTACCACTAATAACGATTATTGAGCACGTGCGTGGCGTATATTTTGGCGTTATCAGTAACCTAATCAGTAACCACTTCTTACCACTGATAACGATTATTGGGCACGTGCGCGACGTATACCTAATAGTGATAACGATTATCAACAACCGTGAAATGCAGCGACATCTATACGTGACGACTGACGACGTCGACAACAGTGTAGATTATTACGATTTTGTCGAAATTCAAGAAATAAACGTAAATCGTTAAATATCAAAAATATATACTGTATACCACTATTGTTACTATGGCGTAGGTATTTTTAAAAATGTCGAAATTCACGAAATAAACGTATAATGTTAAATATCAGAAATATATACCATATACCACTATTGTTACTACGGTGTAGGTATTTTTAAAAATGTCGAAATTCACGAGATAAACGTAAATCGCAAAATATCAGAAATATCTACAACATAACATTATTGTTACTACGGTGTAGGTATTTTTAAAAATGTCGAAATTCACGAGATAAACGTAAATCGCAAAATATCAGAAATATCTACAACATAACATTATTGTTACTACGGTGTATTTTTTTTAAAATGTCGTAATTCACGAAATAAACGTATAATGTTAAATATCAGAAATATATACCGTATACCACTATTGTTACTACGGTGTAGGTATTTTTAAAAACTTTATAAATCATGAAATTCACGAAATAAACGTAAATCGCAAAATATAGAAATATCTACAGCATAACATTATTATTAGTATGGTGTAGGTTTTTTCAAATATAACTACAGTGTAGATTATTACATTTTATCGAAATTCACGAAATAAACGTAAATCGTAAAATATCAAAAATATATACCGCATGTCTACATTTGTAGTACGGTGTAGATATTTTCAAAAAAGTCAATATCCATGAAATAAACGTATATTGTTAAATATCAGAAATATCCACAACGTAGCAACATTTTTACTACGTCGTAGGTTTTTTTGAAACGTTCAAATAATCGTATATTATTAAATATAAGAAATGTCTACGGCGTAACGTAATTGTTATGAAGGTGTAAATATTTACAAAATATCAAAATAAACGTATATTATTAAAAATCAGTAATGTATGACGAATATATTTATTTATTTTAGTATGTTGTAGGTTTTAAAATGCCAAAATTCACGAAATAAACGTAAATCGTAAAATATCAAAAATATATACCGCATGTCTACATTTGTAGTACGGTGTAGATATTTTCAAAAGTCAATATCCATGAAATAAACGTATTTTGTTATATATCAGAAATATCTACAGCATAGCAACATTTTTACTACGTCGTAGGTTTTTTTGAAACGTTCAAATAATCGTATAAATCTTAAGAATAGATGGCTATTGTCCCTTTGTTATCGATACGACCTTTTCCTACACCAGCAGCCCCCGCTGTCAACCGCGTTCAGTGTGTCACAGTTACTTGTACATGTACAATGCGTTTGCTCCCTTCGTGTTTTTTTCAGCGTTTATTATTTGTTTGACAGTATTTAAAATATTTATCAATTATTATCATTCTGTGTTTAATTTTTAATTTTTTTTTCTCGTAATTACCTTAAACAAATCAATATGTTTAAATGCGTGCAGTGCCCGTCGGTTTTTGTACGAAAAGACAGTTTGGTTAGACATGAAATAACTCATACCGGTATTCGTTATTTGTACCGTATGTCCAGCGACATTCAACTATAAATCGTATATCAATAGACATCTGAAAAATGTTCATGGTATGTATTACAAATATTAAATTTTATATATTTTTTTGATTCCATATTAATTAATTTATTAATTTTTCCCCAAGGTATTGTCAACATTCCAACCCGTTTGAGGCCAATGCCCGCTGCACCAATCATAGATCACCCAACACGAGCGCCTCGTGCCTCTAATCAAGGTGATATTATCCAGATCGCGCCTCAAATATTTATCCCCGATGTCCCGGCTGGTGGATCGAATGCGATATCAGACGATGATATATTGTGTATGGAAGCAATGGATGAATTTGAGGATGACGATCTATTATGTATGAAAGCAATGGACGAATTTGAGGATACAGGTTAGTTTTATTTAATTTATCAGAATCAATTAGATTTTTAAAAGACAAGCTGATTTCATTTTATCCGCCGTGGATTATTTTTTTAAATACGTAACGTTAAAGTAGATTTATTAATCGAATATACAAGTAAAACAGATTTTTTAAAATACATGTCGTTAGATTTTATTTTTCAGTCACGGGTTGATTAGATTTTTAATATGTCGTATATTGTAGACAGTCGTCAAAATATTATTTCATATATGTAATAGAGGTGGGAACATTTTAAATTGTAAACTATTGACATAGGTCAGTGAAGCATATGTGCTGAGACAGCGATAAGATTACTATATAACACCGCCGCACGCGCAGGCACGAGAGGAGAGTCCCGTTGTCGCTGAGTGAATCGGCGAGGACGTAGGTACTGTGGTCGTACGTGTGAAACGTCGATCGTAGTACGGGCTAGGCAATCCGGATTTGCTAAGTGTTTCATTTATGTTTGTTTTAATATAATAAAAGTGTTTCCGACCTAAAAACCCGAGTTGAGTTTTATTTCAAAGTCTTCTTCGTTCTTACCTTTAATATTGGAACAGTGCTCAGACCCACACACCTATAGTCAATGAGGTTTATTACAAACTGAACAGTGCTCTGGTTGTGGCGTCCTAATAGTCATTCCAATTTAGGAAACGAACGAAGAACTGACAAAACGCTACCATCGTACCTCAAAGGTTAACAGTGCTAATCTGAATTTATTCTAGAGACAGTCATTAGCCTAGAGCGTACGAGGGTAAGGTATAAAGTTGGTTTACCGCGTATTATCCAATACGGGTGATACCACAGAGTGGCGCCCAACGGGGTTACTTATCCACGGTCGGAGACATTTTTTTTGATTGATTTTTTGTGGCCTGGTACCTCAACCTTGGCAAGTTTTAATTTTTTTGAAAGTGTTTACGTACGATAAGTACAACAGTTTTTACGTGTAGTCTGGGAGAGATTCCCTTGACACACCATTTTTTTTTTTTACAAGTGAAGTACAACAATTGTGCACGTTTCGGATAGTAAAACCCGGAGTTAGTTTAGTGATTTTTTTTTCCGTTAGAGTAAAATAGTAATACCTTTTGTGTTTTGGGTGCAGTGAAAACCCAGAACGCAATTTTTGTGCGTGTGTATACCGAGTGAGTAACACATACGCGTTCGATTTTCGTCTGACCGACAAGACAGCAGTTTTGTGCCGCGTGGTACAATTTTTGCAACCGTGCGTCTACAAGTATACGCCAAGGTGAGCAACGTTTTGTAATATACTTAATACTTATATTAGGATTATAGATTAGATTTTTCTTAAAACAATTTAAATAGAATTTTAGTTCAATAATTTTTCAAAATTTTTTTTCGATTTTAAATAACCGCAAAATTTTAATTTAAGTTTTAAACAAGTAGATTAGGTTTTTTTAAAGAAACTATTTAAATAGGATATTTTTTTTTTAGTTCAATTTTTTTTCTCTCTATTTCTCTCTTTTACTTTTCAAAATTTTTATTCGATATAATTATAACCGCAAAAATATTTTAATTTAAGTGATATACTTACGTATTAATATTAGGATTGTATATTAGATTTTTTTTTTTAATTTAAATAGGATTTTTTTTTATTCAATAACATAGTATTATAATTAATCTAGTAGTATTTTTATTTTTTTTTTTTTTGTCAAACATAAAGTTGGTTTACCGCGTATTATCCAATACGGGTGATACCACAAATAGATTCGTCATTAGATTTTATCAGATTAGGTTTTATTAGGTTTTATTTTTAAAGATTCATACACCGTTGCCGTTAACGGAAAGCGTGTTTCCACGGCCATCACCGTGTCGCCTGCTAGGGCGAAAAAGACTAGGTTGAATCTTGTCTAGGCCCCTGGGTTCATCGAGATTTCATCGTCCGCAAATAGGAAGATCGTGTGGTATTATGCGAAAAATGTCGATAATACAATGATTTATTCTGATTTTCTCCGCCCGCTTATGCCTGAGTTAGTCAATTTATTGAAAACCCACGTGAAAAAACATGCGATTAAATTCAATTTGAAACTCGAAGCAACATGCAACCGGCCCAACGTACCAAACTCGTCGGAGAACCGGGCATTCAAGACTTCGGCGGTAGAACTTTATTCGGATAGTGACATTAGAACGATTGTAGAGAGGGCGTATATGAAGTTAATGACAGAGAAAGATGAGTACCAATCACGTGGAAGCGGATTTACATTGGAGAGCATAGACGGCTTGTTGTTGGCGGTATACACCGATGAGTGGATCGTCGTATATCGAGTTGCCAACGTATAACGCCAGGAAACGGGGGACAATAAATCCACAAAACACAGACCAGAAATGTTTTAAGTGGGCGATTCTAGCGAGGCATGTGGCATATAATTTATCTGATAAATATAAATACTGTGTGGGTGAAAATTACAAAAAACATGAAGGAAAATATAATTTTGACGGCCTCACCTTCCCGACACCGCTATCGGATATAACTAAATTCGAAAAAAACAATTCCAGCGTCTCCGTTAACGTCTATGGTATAGATAGAAAAATACAGCCATCAAAGTCCCCGAGGTATGAGGTGTACCCGCTACGAGTCGTTGACGAAGAGAAACCGGACCACTTCGACCTGTTGTTGGTAAAGGACGACAAAAACTCGCATTACGTTTACATTTCGAATTTTTCACGAATTGTGCGCGCACAAAAAACTAAGCATGATGAACGCGTTGTATTTTGTAAAAGGTGTTTTACGTCATTCGATAATCATAATTTAAAATACAAGCTGAGCGGACAGGAGGCGTTGGAACAACATAAATTGATTTGCGGCGCGCACAAGCCGATACTACCCGAGATGCCGAAAGAGGGCGATTGTGTCGAGTTCGAAGCGTGGAAGAACACTCAAAGGCACCCCTTTGCGATATACCGGATTTTGAGACGATGTTGATGAAGACGGACGAGGACAAAGGGGAAAACACGAAAGTAATACATAGACACGAGGCATTAAGTTATGGATTTATGGTAAAGGCAAGCGAAAACGTACCGATGGAATTATTGAAGGAACATGAGATACCTACGAAACCAATATTATACAGAGGAAGCGAGAATAAGACGGACGTCGCAAGACATTTTGTTGAAACTGTGACTGAAATATCATTGAAGATAGAAAAACTGCTTAAAACGAATACACCCATAATTTTCACGGATGAACAGCTTAGAACCCCCGAATCATCTCAATTATGTAATTTATGTAAGACAAACTTTTCACACGACAACCATAAGGTTGTAGATCATTGACATTTATCGGCGAAATATCGTCAAACTCTGTGTAACAACTGCAATCTCAAGCTCAAAACACCGAACTTCATACCTATATTTTTTCATAACCTTTCCAACTATGACGCGCACTTGATAGTGTTGGAACTTGGTCATAACACCCAAGCTATTAAAGTAATACCTAACAGTGAGGAGAAATTTATTTCATTCACTAAGTACGTGTCAAATACATTCAGCATGCGATTTATTGACACTTTTCGGTTTATGGCGTCAGGACTGTTGGCTCTAGCCAAAAATCTTGTGACACCGGGTCTGGAGAACTTTAGAGAGACCGCCAAAGTTTTTTTTGAAGTCGATATGCTGCTCGTAACTCGGAAAGGTATATACCAGTACGAGTATACTGATAGCTGGAGCAGGTTGAACGAGACACGATTACCGAGGAAAAGGGACTTTTACAGTACATTGACGGATACCGGGGTTAATGAGATCGATTTTGATCATGCAAAGGAGGTCTGGGAACACTTTAGATGCAAGACGTTGGGTGAATACAGTGATTTGTACCTCAAAATCGACGTGATGCTGCTGGCAGATGTTTTTGAGAATTTCCGCGACCTATGCATGAAAACGTACAACCTAGACGCCGCCCATTATTTTACCGCCCCTGGTTTAAGTTTTGACGCGATGCTGAAATTTACGGGGCAAAAGCTACAATTGCTGCACGATTACGATATGTTGTTGCTGTTTGAGAAAGGTTAGTATATATTATCTATATTATATTTAAATTGTATGTATGTAATAATAATAATAATCTTATTTTTATTAATTTATTTTATTTTATTTAATAGGTATTCGTGGTGGACTGGTGCAGGCGAGTAAGCGGTATGCAAAGGCTAATAATGTAAAGACCCCGGGCTATGATGCAAGTAAACCAGACTCGTGGATAATATATCAGGACTGTAAGTATATATTTATTTGTTCAAAACTTATTATTCTTTTTTAAATTTAATAGGTAACAACTTGTATGGATGGGCCATGTCCCAGTATATGGGTTGAACCTACATTGAATGAACTGAACGATTTAGATAATACATCACACATAGGACGTATTTACGAGGTGGACGTAACATACCCACAGCACTTGCATAACGGACATAACGATCTGCCTTTCCTCCCACAAAATAGTATACCGCGTGGTTCAAAGCTACGGAAATTGATGGCCACGTTTGAGAAAAAGGAGAATTATATTATACATTATAGGAACCTGCAGCAGGCCATTAAAAATGGACTTATAGTTGAAAAAGTAAATATTTTTATTTTATAAGATTTTAAACATTTTTACTAACATTTTTCTTATTTTTATAGGTACACAGGGTTATACAATTTAAGCAGTCGAATTGGCTGGCTAAATATAGAGAGTACCGTATATTTACGGTAGATATGAGGAAGAAGGCTAGAAATGCGTTTGAGAAAAATTTTTTCAAGCTGATGAATAACGCTGTATTTGGTATGTCACTTTATTTATATTATTTAAACATTTTTACCAACATTTTATTTTTCTAGGTAAAACAATGCAGTCTAAAAGAAAGGAGATGAAGATGGAGTTAGTGTCGCATGATAGGAGGTTACAAAAATTGATTAATAAATGCACATTTAAACACTTTATTAGGTACAGTGAAAATCTGAATGCAGTCGCACTAGAGAACAAATTAATAAAATTTTGATAAACCTATATATATTGGTAAATATATTTTATATAATATACAATAATACATTTATTAACACATTTATTGTTTACAAGATTTACAGTACTAGAAATTTCAAAAACTTTAATCTATGATTATCATTATAATGACATGCAGAGGCATTATGGAGACAGGATTAAACTAATGTATACTGACACAGGTAAATATTATATTGAAACTAATATATTGTATGTACATAATATATTAATTTAATATCATTCTTTTTTCTAGATTCATTGATATACCATGTCTATACCAAGGACTTTTATGTTGACTTGGCGGCTAACCCCAGCTTGTTGGATCGGATGGATACTGCTAACCTGCCTAGTGACCATCTGTGTTATGTAGCAGAGAGAAAGAAGATCCCCGGGCTCTTCTCTGACGAGGTGTAAACGAAATGTACTATGTAAAAATGTAATATGATATATTTTGTTTTAAGTGTTTGTATTAAAATTACGAACCCTATGTGGGTTCAGCGCATCGCTCTGAATCAGATTAGGATCGGTAAAAACATATATACATCATGTAGAAAGGTCTTGGCTCCGCCCCCCGCGCTGAAACGTACTAGGATCGGGAAATACGCCTACCGCACACAAGGAGTATACAGGTCGACTGAAATTATACTTCAATTTTTCATATATTTAACCAACTATTTATTAAGTATATTAAATAAAATTAAGTTTTCTTAATATTTTTGCCTTCAATGATCTCCAAACGTGAGTTTAAATCTGAAATATATGTTCCATGATTTGGTAATGAATTTTCATCGAATATTCCAGTTACACGATTTATTTCAGCTTTTAATTGGGCCACGTCAAGTCCCTGGATAGCGATTGCTGTACTAGTTTCAGCACAGATATTAAATAGCTCCGACATACGATTTTCACAATTTAATAAAGACTTATTACTTGTTTGTATATTATTTTCAAGCAATTGTATCTTTACATGTAGATTAACAATATTACTTTTCAAAGTATCGATTTCTTTCTTAATGCAAAGACCCGGGACTATGATGAGACGAAAAAGAAATCGTGGATAGTATATCAGGACTGTAAGTATATTTTTCTAAACTTAATAATATTTTCATACTTATTAATTTTTTTTAAATTTTATAGGCAACAACTTGTATGGATAAGCAATGTCGCAGTACATGCCGTACGGTGGGTTCAACCGAACCCACATTAAACGGACTTGATGATTTGAACGATACATCACCCATAGGGCGAGTGTATGAGGTGGATGTAACATACCTACAAAAATTACATGATAAACACAACGATCTACCATTCTTGCCGAACAGCGATATACCTCGCGGGTCGAAGGTGAGGAAGTTGATGGCAACGTTTGAGATGAAGAAGAACTATGTTATACATTATAGAAATCTGCAGCAGGCAATTAAGAATGGGTTGAAAGTGGAAAAAGTAAATATTTGTATTTTATAAGATTTTAAACAGATTGTAATAATTTTTTTATAGGTACATAGGGTTATTCAGTTTAACCAGTCTGACTGGTTAGCCAAATATATAGAATTAAACACAGAGTTGAGGAAAAAGGCGAAGAATGAATTTGAGAAGGACTTTTTTAAACTTATGAATAACGCTGTATTTGGTATGCAACTTTATTTATTATATAATATGTATATAAAAATGTTTACTGATATTTTGTGTTTGATTTTCTAGGGAAGACTATGCAATCGAAGAGGAAGGAAATGAGATGTGAGATGAGATGAGGTTGCAAAAAGTAATAAACAAATGTACATTTAAACACTGCACAAATTACAACGAGAACCTTAACGCTGTAACGCTTGAGAACAAATTAATCAAATTCGATAAACCTATATATATTGGTAAATATAATTTTTTTAAATTATATAATATACACTTATAATTACATTTATTATATATTTATTATTTACAGGATTTGCTGTATTAGATATTAGCAAAACGTTAATGTATGATTATCATTACAATGTCATGCAGAAACATTATGGAGATAGAATTAAGCTTATGTACACTGATACAGGTAAATATATACTAAAACTACATAATATATTTATTTAATATCATTCTTTTTCCAGATTCACTAGTGTATCATGTTCAGACGGAAGATTTTTATGTGGACTTGGCGGCTAACCACAACTTGTTGGATAGGATGGATACTGCTAACCTGCCCAGTGACCATCCGTGTTATGTAGCAGAAAGAAAAAAGTCCCCGGGCTTCTTCTTCGACGAGGTGAACGCAAATATAATTACTGAATTCTGCGGGTTGAGGGCCAAGTCGTATGCCTTCAACATAGATGCTGGACAAGAGGATAAGGAGAAAGATGAAAAGGACCTAGTAGGAGGAGAAAAGATTAAGGCGAAAGGTATCAGAGCTCATGTGGTTAAAAACCATATGACTCTTGAGGACCATAGGAAGTGCCTGTTTGGAGAAATTGGACAGGAGTTGTATAGAGACAATGTATCGATACGGTCATTCAATCACCAGCTTATGACAATAAGAACTAATAAGCTAACATACAACAGCTATGATGATAAGAGGGTGGTGTTAGAGGACAAAATAAACACACTAGCCCATGGTCATTATAGTATAGAGTAAGTTATTACAATTATATATATATTTTTAAATTATTATACTGATTTTACTTTTTTAATTTTATAGGGAAGATGAACCCGAAGATGATTAGCCTGGAATAGAGACCATAACTGGAATGAAGAAGAAACCTTCTACATTGCCTAACCTGATTTTATATATTTTTATTGTTATATATTGATTATTACAAATAACTTATAAACAACTGTTTAGTTTTGTATATATATATATATTGTAAATATTATATTATACTTGTACCTATATTATGTTAGCATATAAATAAAATAAAAAAAAACAATTGTTAAAATATATAATATTATTATTAATATGTTTATTAAATAAAATGTACATATTATAATAACAATTTTTAAGAATTATTTATAAACCATTTCCTTATAGCAAATACTTTATAGAATGTACATTGTTTTGGATTAAATTCCATATGAAAAATACAGCAAGGTAAGGTGTCTTCATCGCATATTTGATCCAAACGTGGACATCCAAGGTCTTCGATGTTGATTAGTGCGACTTGAGGTATAAATTCTGCGAGCATCTGATTTTTCTGTTCGCCTTTGACATAAATGCAGGTGAATTTTAATGAGTTCAATATTCTACTTAAATCTTCATATTCAACATCACCATACTCTATAGTTAGTTTATGATAGTTATGTTCCAGCCACTTGTTAG